CTCACCCTCGAAAGCTACAAGTCACGACTCCAGATGAGGATGACTCTATACATCGACGACGAAGAGCGCTGTATGATTGTGGGTCCTGTAAGAGTGAGTACTTGTAATTAAATTGTGATCACATCGACTCGCATTTTGTGATGCTTAATTGCAACACAGTGATCCTGGTGAAGGGGTCTCGACTCTAGCTGATAAGCCTATTAGAGCGAGATGCCACACATAGTGCTGGTCTCGACCGCGGGCGTGTTTGTGATTATTTCCAACACATGTCAGTCTATGTTTTTGTGCAGGCAATTTAATGACCCGAGCTTAAAATTTGAGCTCCAAATTGTTCCTGTTGTATACGGCAGTGGTGTTAGGCAGCCGTTATTGTTGAGGTGGTCATTATACCAGTGTTAAGGTTAGGTTGCATAATAATAATAATAATAATAATAATTTTGATTTACAAGAAGGTACACTGAGTTGTGAGATTACATAAGATTAGTATTTTTGCATTCTTGCAGAGCCACTAACACGCATAGCGTTTCGTTACGTCACCTGAGTAACTCTTGAATAATTTACCTGACTCATTTCCATGAGTAAATATATTTTCGTTTTATGCTCAATAAATTAATTTATTAAAAAATAGATGTTAAGCACATGGTGTTTCTGGAAATCCTTTCTCCCTCAGTAAACATTACTTTACGGACTTGGTCTCATAAGAGGTCACCTCAAATTATCTAGTACGGAATCTTATAAATTCGATGAACCGACCTCTGTTTTGCCTGCATCTCCAGGTGGGACTCGCACACGACCTATACCTAGCACGATCGCCTCAAGCTCTTTTGCCGTTGCTCTAGGCATTTTACGTTTTTAATACTTACTGTGAGCGGCTCGCACGGCAGTCCTTGCCTAGCTGCACACAGTAGTGGTCCAACCTTAAAGTAAACTTGGACCTCTACTATCTTTCTCACTACTGTTTACTTCTCACGACCCTTACTACTATCCCTTCTAACCCCTATTGTTTCAGCGCCTCAGTGTGGCGATCCAGAGGGAAAACGCCCGCTGTATCCTTGGTTCCTGTCCGGAAGCGGAGGAGCTTCAAGAGATCCATAACCTTTAAGCAGCTACTGTATTAATCAGTGTACATCTTGTAACCTTTAAATATCTAATAAAGCACAACAAAACACAAAAGGAAGGGATTGGTAGGGGAAATCACACACAAACTATAATGGAGGGGAGCAAAACATTCCATCTAATGCGTTGTGTGATTTCCTCCGAGGCAAAGTCCCCATCTTCCAGCCAGAGGTGGTACTCCCTATTTAATATATATATATATATATATATATATATATATATATATATATATATATATATATATATATATATATATATATATATATATATATATATATATATATATATATATATATAATAGAGCAAATAAAGGTTGTTTTGCCTGACATTCATACAACCAACCCTGAGGACAGCACACTCCTAGGTGCTCCTCTTGGAAGGAATGCCATCGACGGGGTCCTTGGTAAGAAGATCACTGACCTGAAGAGGATGAACGAGAGGATTGAAGACATCGATGCTCATGATGCACTTTACCTCATCACCAGATGCTTGTCCCTCCCCAGGCTGACCTACTTTCTAAGATGTTCGCCATCTTTCAACAATATTAAATTAGAAGAGTACGACAGCTTGCTGAAATCAACACTAGAAAAAGCCCTCAATCTTTCCCTCAGCGACTTACAGTGGAAACAGGCCTCCCTTCCTGTCAGACTCGGGGGCCTTGGCGTGCGCACAGCAACACAAATTGCTGTACCAGCGTTCCTGTCCTCTTCAGTGGGGTCTGACAACTTGGTGAAGGAAATCCTACCTGAGCACCTAGTTCAACAGGCTGGGGTACATGATCCCAGCTTCACAGACTGCACAACCAAATGGGTCTCTCTCGCAGGACCAGCACCCCAACCACCGCCTTCTGAAGCCCATAAGCAATCCAGCTGGGATCGCCCCATTGCCGACCAAGAAGCTGCGACTTTGCTAGAAGCTGCGACAACACCACATGACACTGCCCGACTTAGAGCTGTAGCAGCTCCCCATGCAGGTGATTTCCTATTAGCAACCCCAATGTCAGCAACCGGCACCCGTCTCACACCGCAGGCCCTCCGAATTGCCGTGGCTCTCCGCCTCGCTGCCCCAATCCACACCGAATACAGGTGTATTTGCGGCGAGGCAGAGGCCGACAGATACGGACGGCATGGCCTTCTCTGCCAAAGGACAGGAGGATGGCATGCAAGACACGGCGAGGTCAATGACATTATTAAGAGAAGCCTTACCACAGCCGGTTGTCCAGCAGAGAGAGAGCCCCGTTACCTAATGTCCCGCAACTCTGATGAGCCTGTCGGTCGCCCAGACGGAATCACGGTGAACCCCTGGAAGAATGGTAGACAGTTGGTGTGGGACTACACTTGCGTTTCAACTTTAGCCAATACCTATGTTGACTTCAGTGCTACACAAGCAGGAGGAGCTGCCAATCACCGGGAAGCGGCCAAGTCACGTAAATACAGAGACCTTGAGCACCACTACAATTTTGTCCCCATTGCCTCAGAGACACTTGGTGCCTGGGGTAAAAGTGCTGCTAGCTTTTTGAAGGAGTTGGGGTCTAAGCTAATCGAAACAACTAGAGACCCTAGAGCTGCCAGTTTTCTTTTTCAGCGCCTTAGTGTGGCAATCCAGAGAGGAAATGCTCACTGCATCCATGGTTCCTGCCCGCCATCTGAGGAGCTGGAAGAGCTGTACAACTTGTGACAAGCAGCCTTGTACCCTGCATGTAATCAATATTGTAACTTTTTTTGTGTAATGACATTTTCAAATAAAGTTAGATAAATATACACACATACCAAAAGAATAGGGGTGGTAGGAGAAGAAAATATCAAAGTGTTCAGTGAGGATCCACAAGGTCTTCTCTGAGTACTCTTTATTTTCTTCTCCGAGGCTATGGGTCCCTACACTTGCACCAGAGGTGGTACCCCTTCTAGGTTTAAAAATATATATATATATATATATATATATATATATATATATATATATATATATATATATATATATATATATATATATATATATATATATATATATATATATATATATATATATATATATATATATATATATATATATATATATATATTTGGTAGCAGTCTTTCCTGTGCCCCAAAGAATGAGGTGATTTGATAAAATGACATATATTATTAAATATGACCGAAAAAGTAAGATTAATAATTCTAACACGAATTTTCTCGATCTTTCGTACGTTTCTTTTCACTGTTGGTGGTAATTCAAAAATCAATTCTCCAAAATTCATTTTTATTTCTAGTCTGACGCGACACTTGAGCGCGTTTCGTAAAACTTATTACATTTTCAAAGACGTTAGTTTACACATACACAACTGAATAGAACTTACACATCTTCGATTTGTTTATATCTACATTTGAGTGAGGTGGATGGGGTGAGGTGGTATTAATAGGGTATTCAATTCCTAAACACAAGACAGAACACGAAACAATGGGTATTGAATGGAAGTGATTGTAGAAAGCCTATTGGTCCATATTTCTTGATGCTTCTATATTGGAGCGGAGTCTTGAGGTGGGTAGAATATAGTTGTGCATTAATTGGCTGTTGATTGCTGGTGTTGACTTCTTGATGTGTAGTGCCTCGCAGACGTCAAGCCGCCTGCTATCGCTGTATCTATCGATGATTTCTGTGTTGTTTACTAGGATTTCTCTGGCGATGGTTTGGTTGTGGGAAGAGATTATATGTTCCTTAATGGAGCCCTGTTGCTTATGCATCGTTAAACGCCTAGAAAGAGATGTTGTTGTCTTGCCTATATACTGGGTTTTTTGGAGCTTACAGTCCCCAAGAGGGCATTTGAAGGCATAGACGACGTTGGTCTCTTTTAAAGCGTTCTGCTTTGTGTCTGGAGAGTTTCTCATGAGTAGGCTGGCCGTTTTTCTGGTTTTATAGTAAATCGTCAGTTGTATCCTCTGATTTTTGTCTGTGGGGATAACGTTTCTATTAACAATATCTTTCAGGACCCTTTCCTCCGTTTTATGAGCTGTGGAAAAGAAGTTCCTGTAAAATAGTCTAATAGGGGGTATAGGTGTTGTGTTAGTTGTCTCTTCAGAGGTTGCATGGCGTTTCACTTTCCTTCTTATGATGTCTTCGACGAAACCATTGGAGAAGCCGTTGTTGACTAGGACCTGCCTTACCCTACAGAGTTCTTCGTCGACTTGCTTCCATTCTGAGCTGTGGCTGAGAGCACGGTCGACATATGCGTTAACAACACTCCTCTTGTACCTGTCTGGGCAGTCGCTGTTGGCATTTAGGCACATTCCTATGTTCGTTTCCTTAGTGTAGACTGCAGTGTGGAAACCTCCGCTCTTTTCCATGACTGTTACATCTGCTTCCCATCCTTTTCCATCTCGTAAGTGAAACGCAGCACGGAACTCTGCTCAAATGCCTCCTTCAGCTCCTGCAGATGTCTGACATCAGGTACCTGTGTAAAAATGTCGTCAACATACCTGCAGTATATGGCCGGTTTCAAGTTCATGTCGACTAAGACTTTTTGCTCGATGGTACCCATGTAGAAGTTTGCAAACAGGACACCTAGGGGAGAACCCATGGCGACCCCATCTACTTGCTTATACATGTGCCCATCCGGGCTCAAGAAGGGTGCCTCTTTAGTACAAGCTTGGAGTAGTTTCCTTAGAATATTTTCGGGTATGTCAAGAGGAGTACAGGCTGGATCACGATACACTACCTTTGCTTTTAATTCGGCTGTATATACTTATATATATATATATTCGTATTTTTTATATATATATATATATATATATATATATATATATATATATATATATATATCCAACTCTACTTTATATATATAAAATAAGCAGTTTAAGACTGCCTGAAGGACAGCAGTCCCTGGTCATGATGAGAGTCTTGTCTTGCAGAAGGCAGCAGTGGTCATCCTCGTCCTCATGGCGGCCGTCGTGGCGGCGACATCACCTTCTGAAGGAGATAATCCAATACTCTTGGCGGCATCAGATCCCGGAGAGAGTTCATTACCATCAGCCACATCTCTTCCAGAAGGTAATCCATTAATATTGTTTGAGATAGGTTCAAAATTGATTTCTTTTAAAACATTTTAAAATTATCCATGATTAATAATAATTAATGGTGCGCAACCACTTGGGCTGGACGGTAGAGCGACAGTATCGCTTCGTGCAGGTCGGCGTTCAATTCCTGACTGTCCAAGTGGTTGGGCACCATTCCTTCTTCACCCCCGTCCCATGCCAAATCCTTATCCTGACCCCTTCCCAGTGCTATATAGACATAATGGCTTGGCGCATTTCCTTGATAATTTCTTTCCTTTCCTTAATAATAATTCATTTTATATACAGCCAAAACAATGTTTACACGTGTATTGTAGATAGGTGATTTGGTATATTGAGGTCTCCTATAGTTTAGGTTCCCTAACTGAAGGATAGTAACATACAGAATGGTAAACTATAAGTATATAGTTTGGTAAAATATGTACATAACCGTAAAAATGTTGATCCCTAATACTCTAATGATCCCTCAGAGATTGCAATCTACACCGCCAGGGCATCAACCACTGGCAACCCCAGTTTCATACCCACTCGGGCCATCGATAGAATTATATGTGTAGGAAGGTAGTGAGACCCACATGCACCCTACACCCGGCTACCCTTGTGGTTCATAGGCACAGATCAGTTTCCTGAATATGCTGTGATCGCGTTCAGCATCACACAAGTGTTTAGCTTGAATAATCCAAAAGTGTCAGTTTATATAAACCATGAGTTGAAGCTTCTTTGTCCATGATGGGTCTGTCGCAGCTGGATTGTTTCTTGGCTTTTGATAGGGTTAGTCCTAGTGCTGGGGCTGCCAGGGTATCCAACCTTGCGATGCATTCTGCCCACTATGGGTCATGTAACCACGCTGGCATTCAAATTGTCTAGTAGTTTTTCCTTCGCCAGGTCGTCAGAGGCCGAGAAGGAAGACAGGAAGACTAGAACAACATTATATTGCGATGAGTCACATTCTGCCCGACGACGTTTCGGTCCGTCCTCATGTCGAACCACGCTGGCATTCAAATGGTCAGGTAGACCGAAACTTCGCCAGGTCGTCAGATTTCTAGAAGGTGGTCAGGAAGACTATCACAACATTATATTGTTTCTCATTTCGAGTGAGTGAATCTCCGGCAAGATTTAATAGTTAATATATTGAGTTATAAAAGCATCAATTATTTTCAGATGGAAAAGAGGGCAAGTTCTTCATCAAGTCTTACTCAACCACCACCTGGACCTTCTTGTCTTCGTTCACCTCAACTGTTCCATACACCTGTTACACCAGTAAGTCATCAGTTGTCTTCACTCATGTTGACTATCCCAAAGTCCGTTACGAGAAGTATATACATACATCTTGTATAGTTTACCTCATTTACTGGTCATTATATGGTGAGTTTACTCTCGTCATGGATTATGATCAGGATTCGAGTAAACTTATTGATTCGTCATTAAAATTATTATTGTTGCCTTAATATCCATCTCGCGGCTAATAAGCCTTTTGCAATTCTTCCTTGCAAATATTTAGGAGAGATATATGCACTGACAGTTATGCTCTTCTTTTCATTGTTGAATTATCAACATAAATGCTTTGTTATGTAGCTATTATGTATACTTGCAATATATATACCCAAAATTCATCATTATAAAAGGCCTTTTCGATTGGCAATTGTTCTGGTGTCCAGGGTACAGGGGAAATACTGCACTAGTATAGGAGCTAAACTGACCATGTGCTTGTTGAGAGAAATATGTATGTGATACGAGAGCAGTCAGAGGAATGTGTGGAGGTCTGTCTGACTCATATTAGTACTGTGTAAGGTTACATGACACCCTGATCGTGCCTAGAAGGGTCAAGGAGGTCAAATAATACATCTGTTGAAGTTGACTGACTGAGATCTGGTAGATGACAACAAAAGTTGATAAGTATCTTGGAGAGATTATGAAGTTGATAAACTGTTTGAACAATGGAAGGAACCTCTTGCTGGGATGAGGACGTGACAGTTGATTAAAAAATGTGGATTTTATAGATACAGAGAGAACGAGCAAGAGATTCAACGAAATGAGAATATTAGGAGAATACAAACAAATTATGTGAAAAGATCAAACTTAAAAAAAAAGAAGGAACGAATGAGGAGATAAAGTGAAAGAAATGCTTCAGAAGAAAAGAACATCGTGTAGAGAATAAAGTGTAACGGGGAGACTGGTTTACGAGTAAATAGAAATACTAATGACATGATCACCATATACAAAATTCTCACGGAAATTGATAGGGTAGATAAGGACAGTTTATGTAACACGGGTGGTACACGCCCAATAGGACACAGGTGTTAACTGAGTACCCAAATGAGCCACAGTGACATTAGAAAGAACTTTTTCAATATCAGACTAGTTAATAAATGAAATGAATATAGGAAATAATGTGGCGGAGGATGACTCCATACACAGTTTCAAATGTAGACATGATGGAGCTCAGTAATCTCAGAAACATGTACATCAGTTGATTGACAGTTGAGAGGCGGGACCAAAGAGTTGAAGCTCAAACCCCGCAAGCACAACTAAGTGAGTACACACACACACATTCAACTGCTATGTGTATACTCACCCAAATAGGTGAGTAATAGTAAATACACACACACAGTTATATAATGTGAACTGCTACTGTGCTAATTTCCACTTATGTGTCTCACAGCTGCTGCCGCTGTCAGGGCATGCGGTGGTCGCAAAGTTCGGCGCTTGAGGTTGCGTTCTATGGACCAAAGCAACGACGAGGTGGAACTTCTCAGTAGCATTAAGGAGGACACCTTGGCGGACACTGTGGGCGAGTCTGAGCGACAGAAGTTCTTCTTCACTCTGTGGAGGACAGGCAGCACCACCGTCACCGTCACCACCTACTCCACCAACCGTTCCGTCACCGTCTCTATCTCCGCCATGTGTACATATCCTGGAATTGTTCTAAACTTATGTTAGAACGTTGATGTTGCTGAGGACTGCCGTCCCTCTTTAAGATCTCTTAAACTCTCTGGCTATTAATATTTTCTTCTTTCCATGACCATGCTATGAAGGTCAGATTATGACTAATGCATCATAAGTGAACAACTCTCTTAAATACTGAAGATTTTCTTGTAAATATTGTATGTACATAACTGACCCCTTTTAAATACATAAAATTGCAGTATGAATTTTTCGTTTTGTTAACAGACGAGTTATAGGGCTATACGACGAAACTGACATAAGTTTATTGGTTGGGAATTGGGCTTAACGCCTGTCAACCTATGGAAAGTCATTAAGGCAACACCATCAGCTTACCAACCACCAAAAATACTTTAGTCCTGCACAAAGGTGTGAGTGCATTGTCTGTCGTCTGAATCTCTGGCGCCGGAATTTCTTGTCGTGCTAAACTCTACTTTGGTTTTTCATTTGTATATACAAAAGAAAATGCTGTTGCTCATCTACTTTGAAACTGTCACTTCTTTCTCTAAAACTTTCTCTCCTCTACTCATAGACTCAAACCACTACGTACTTACAAACCTTAATATCCGGCAAGAGACAGTGAGCTCCTATGCCTTAGGTAATACGACAAAAAGGTACGACGATACGACGAGGTACGACAAAAAGACTTCTATCACCGTCTAAACCTCTAAAGATGTCTGGTGCTTTCACTTATGGTGAGGTGAATCATTCAATTTCATGCACACTCATAGTGCCACAATTATCTGAGGTACCAACACCTTCACCAGCAAGGAGGTACCAACACCTTCACCAGCAAGGAGGTACCAACACCTTCACCAGCAAGGAGGTATCAACACCTTCACCAGCAGGGAGGTACCAACACCTTCACCAGCAATTAGGTACCAACACCCTCACCAGCAGGGAGGTACCAACACCTTCACCAGCAGGGAGGTACCAACACCTTCACCAGCAAGGAGGTACCAACACCTTCACCAGCAGGGAGATACCAACACCTTCACTAGCAGGGAGGTCCCAACACCTTCACCAGCAGAAAGGTACCATCACCCTCACCAGCAGGGCGGTACCAACACCCTCACCAGCAGGGAGGTACCTACACCTTCACCAGCAGGCAGGTACCAACACCCTCACCAGCATTGAGGTACCAACACCTTCACCAACAGGGAGGGAGGCACCAACGCCTTCACCAGCAGGGAGGTACCAACACCTTCACCAGCAGGGAGGTACCAACACCTTCACCAGCAGGGAGGCACCAACGCCTTCACCAGCAGGGAGGTACCAACACCTTCACCAGCAGGGAGGCACCAACGCCTTCACCAGCAGGGAGGTACCAACACCTTCACCAGCAGGGAGGTACCAACACCTTCACCAGCATTGAGGTACCAACACCTTCACCAGCAGGGAGGTACCAACACCTTCACCAGCAGGGAGGGAGGCACCAACACCTTCACCAGCAGGGAGGCACCAACACCTTTACTAACCTTCAGTGTGTTGCACAATATCAATATCTCGGAGTGTTGATAGATTCTAAAATGACATTCAACAAGCAAATTCAATATCTGAAGGAGAAAGCAAAATTACGACTAAATATAATGAGAGCAATCACAGGGCCCCTTCTAGGAGCGCGACACAAAGTGTTAAGAATGTTTTACACACACACGCCGTTCGTTCCCTAGTTGATTATGCAGCACCTGCCTTACTCACTCTTTCTCCTGGTCAGTAGGCAAACGTTGAGGTTATTCAAAACGATGCAATGCGAGTCATAACAGGAGCTCCCAGATGGACTAAAATACTGAACCTAAGACTAGAAACCAAGCTAACGTCGATTGAAATAAGGGTAAAAGGGACTGCCGCGTGCATGCTGACCAAGATATTGACTAGACCTAGAATCAGTTCTCTTAAAGATATAATCACTGGAGCACTAACTCTGAACAGAAGAGCCTCCAATAGCAACAGGTGGACCCATTGTGCGATAAACACCATCAATACATTCCATATAACAAACACAATCACTGAAAGGGGTGTTGACGAAATACATGAAAACTTTGTTATGCAAGCCCCTTGGGAATCTTCGCCAGCAGACTTTAAGATTATAGTTCTTGAAGGAAAAAAGAACCAGACAAATCCTCATCTGCTACGTAATATTGCACAGATGCATATAGAAGCAAACTTGGCATCTGGCAGCTTCACTTATTTCACAGATGGATCAGGAGACCAGCAGGAACAAGAAACTGGAGCTGCAGTTAAAGCAGGAAACTCTGTAAATAGTTGGAGACTCTCAAATGGGTGTTCGACTTTACAAACAGAGATGCTAGCCATTCAAAAGGCTTTGGAACATGCTCTTGCTAAACACTGACAACATGTTATCATACATACAGATTCGAGAACTGCCATTGAAACCTTGTAACAAGAACACATATGTGATAACATCCATCTGATCACAAATGTCATATCATTGATGCAAAAACTCAAATGACAAGGCCGACGGATACTTATCAACTGGGTGCCATGTCATGTGGGAATAATAGGAAATGACATTGCAGACGAAACTGCAAAACTTGCAACTAAGAGAAGAAATGTAGACATTTACATACCACAGAGTCTATCACAGATTAAGAAAGTAATTAGAAACAGAGAAATGCAAAAGATGTACAGTGACCACAACACAGCAGTTGCAACATCAGGATCTGCGGGTTGGTACAAGAATTCAACCAACTACGAACCAATTAGTTTAATGAAAGGGAGCAGTGGAACACCACAAGTACACTTACATCGCATCAGGCTTGGATACCCATGTGCATGGGAAATAGGCTTACAGGTTTCGGAAGATGAGAGGAAATGTCAGCACTGAGGAGAAATGCCCGACAGACCACTGGAACATTATCCAACACAGTGCAGAGTTACAAACTCAAACACAGTGCAGAGATACAAACTCATTAAGATTTCAACTTAGATTCAACAGAGCAGAAGAAGGTGTTAAACACGTGGGGGACAAAATCTTACTGAAGCGACAATACAAGTCATAAATACTCATACTCCGCCTAAGTAAAACAGAAACAAGCAACAGTTAGTGGTCCAGCCAGAGGCTTAGGGCCCACGTAGAAATATCCCTGCAAAAAACAAAAAAACAAAAAAAAAAACAGCAGGGAGGCACCAACACCTTCACCAGCAGAGAAATATCAACACCTTCACCAGCAGAGATATACCAACACCTTCACCAGCAGGGAGGTACCAACACCTTCATCAGCAGGGAGGTACCAACACCTTCACCAGCAGAGAAATATCAACACCTTCACCAGCAGGGAGGTACCAACACCTTCACCAGCAGGGAGGTACCAACACCTTCACCAGCAGGGAGGCACCAACACCTTCACCAGCAGGGAGGCACCAACACCTTCACCAGCAGGGAGGTACCAACACCTTCACCAGCAGAGAGATACCAACACCTTCACCAGCAGGGAGGTACCAACACCTTCACCAGCAGGGAGGTACCAACACCTTCACCAGCAGAGAAATATCAACACCTTCACCAGCAGGGAGGTACCAACACCTTCATCAGCAGGGAGGTACCAACACCTTCATCAGCAGGGAGGTACCAACACCTTCACCAGCAGGGAGGTACCAACACCTTCACCAGCAGGGAGGTACCAACACCTTCACCAGCAGGGAGGTACCAACACCTTCACCAGCAGGCAGGTACCAACACCTTTACCAGCAGGGAGGTACCAACACCTTCACCAGCAGGGAGGTACCAACACCCTCCCTCGGCTCCTTAGATGCTCGTATGAGGGCTTACACAATTTCTATGCAAACTTCCTCAATGTTTTGCTACATCTCTACTGTCATAAAAAATATTAATTGCAACTTTCCTTCTCACTGAGATTTTAGTAAAGTTCTGACCCTGTTTAATACGATAATATCAATTTGATAAATATTTCATATCTTTTCATACCTAAAGTATAACTTCAGAAGGAAAAAGTTAAACAAGGGTGTTGCGATGGACAGCTGATAAATATAAATTCCCCTGTTGATTCTCAGTTCATTATCCTGGTTCATTATCGCTGGCGTGCATGGCAGTATATATAATGAAGGAACTCGATTTGTTTGAGTACACTTCAGCTGGGTTCTCAGGATGGTAAGTCTCTAGGTTGGTACTGGGCTCAAGGCCTCCACAACAACTTAATAATTCAACCTGTCAGTTTGCTCCAGCTCTGGGTGTATCTTAGTACCAACCAGAAGAATACACAACACGGGTAACAGATGTTATATTTGCTCATGGTGGGCTTGTGTTACTGTCTGTCAACCTCTGGGCGGTTGTTAAGACCACGCGTGTTCACTGATCAAGCTAGATCACTTTAGCCCCTAGATAATCCAAATTAAAAGAAATCAGTCAATATCAGTAATACACAGGATAAGATACCTGTTAGGGCGAGCCTTGAAGTGGGGACAGCTGAAGAGAAGTCAGTGAGCGGAAGCGCTGAAGTTGTTGAGAAAGAGGCAGGGCTATACCCAGTTTTATTATTATTAACATCTTTAATGACAAAATTAATTACAATTTTGCCTAATCTGAGGATTTCAATTAAGTCTTATTAAAGTGAGGATAATGTTGGTATTCACTGTCACGCAGGACAGAGGGTCATACACAAGACAATAAGTCTAAACTGTAGGCTGAAGCACACATACATATCATGGTTACAATCAATGTTTTAATGTATAAATTTGTGAAAACAACTTCCTATTGTGCACTGCCATACAAGGGCAGGAATGGGTTCATAAGTGATGCAGCTTAGAAGTAATATAAATAAAATTGTTCCTCATTCTTTAAAATGGACAAGTAAATTTTGGATAAATTGTTAGGATGTCGTCCAGAACACCTGAGTCAATGAAATAGTTACACAGTTGGTGGTATTTGATAGGCCTGGAGGTCTAAAGTCTTTTACGGTTTCACATTCAACAATATAGTGTTCTAGTGAATGCATTAAAGGTTTATCACAGAGTTTACAATCTGAATAATCTGGTAGTGGCTCAGCCTCACTAACCTACCAGATGTGCCTATAGCCAAGACAAATTCGCGCAACGACTACATCACATTGCCTGGTCCGGTTACTGTGCTGACCATACAAATACCTATTATTACAAAACTTGTCATAGCTTTTAATACTGCAGCTTTCAGGTCTTAGGGCGTTTCTTAGTTCTTCTAAATCTGAATTAA